ACTGCAGTTGTCATTGTGAACTCCAAAGATGGTTTGAAAGAGCTGAGTTCAAATAACTTAAATTTCATTTCTTTAAAAGTTGAATTTAAGCTGAGGTGAACTTTTCACAGTTATATTGAAAGCATTATTTCAAAACGGCTAAAGACTCACAATCAAAACAGTCAAGTTTGTGTCAGCTATTAGATATAGCGATATAAGATTATACACTTTAGATGGTCACCAGTGTAGAAGATTTGACACACACAGTTCAGTACAACTACAATTTGGTTGTACTGTAAATACCTCTGGAATACGGCCAACGTAAAATTTTTAAGTTTCAAGACTATCGAGTTATATTCTTTATGTGGTGACATTAAGTGCCACGATCGTTCCAGCGAATAGAGGTTTGTTCTGGAAAAAGCCGTAGCTTTTTCCCATCATCAATCAGGTAAAGAACTTATTATGCTTATTCATTAATCATTCATCATTGATTTGGAAAAGTTGCGAACTATAGCAGTTGCAAAATGTGATCCCAAAATGGTAGACCCTTTTCTACCCTTTCAACCTATACAGTGTGCAACGTTTCTTGAGTTTCAAGTTAAATTTTGCATGAACGACTACTGTCTAGAAAGCTTTAAATAAAATAATCGAACATCCGTTCGAATGTTTGAATGCTCAAAATCTAAGATTTGAATTATTTTCTAAAGAACTTGAATGCTCGAAAACCGCGAATTTCCATCATTCGAAAAACCATCGCAGATTCTGATTTTCGAGTTCGGAAGTTTAGATATTTAAGAATTTGGGTTTTCAAATTGTTTGAAAATTGCATATCCGAGAGTGTTGATTTCTGACTCAATCGATTATCTGAATGTTCCACATTTTCCTCAAATTCCCAATGTACACTGCCTCTCACTCGCTCACTCTCTAAGGATGATGGTTAAACATCTATAGGGGAAGAGGGAAGAGGGGAAAGATGCGGTTCAACTATTAAATTGAGATCCCGGGGCTCTAGTCCATTCTTTCCATAAATTCCTTTCTCTTGAAAAAGTGGATTTCTCTAGGGAACAGGATATCGACCCCCATAAGCTTGAAAGGGTGTCGCCATGGATTTATCATGTTTTTTGTGCAAATTTATTCAAAGATGTAATGCCTTTAACTCTGTGATGACCGCTCTAGAGAGTGATTGCGGATAAGATCC